GCTGCGCCGGCCGCCGTTTGCCCGGGGGCCACCGGGCATCGACACAGGGCTAAACATCTCGCATCTGACATGTGACAGAGAACAGGACATCCCTAGCTCCATTTACGCCTCGCCATGGTTTATTATTGACAATACCGTGAGATGATCTCATGGAATTAACAGCTCCGCTCAAAATCTCGGCGTTGGACGAGGTTTGAACGATGAGAAGGAAAGCGGGGTCTCCGGGGAGATGCCTGCACTGATTCCAATCTGAATCCTTGGCCCTCCCAACGGCCACAAAGAAGACACTAAAAATAACTTATTTTCATTACAGAGATACTTTTCAAGAGAAAGGAGAGGAAGGGGGGGAACGTTTCTACAACGGGGATTAATGTAAGTTGGAGTGGAATAAAAGGAAGTCAACGCTGAGCAAAAAGGGAACTTAAAAGGAAACCAGTAGTAGATCATATAGAGTTTGTTTTGGCCTGCATTGCAGTATTACCGAGTTCTTGACCTCTGCACAGAAAGAGCTATAATCTGAACCGAGACTCCTCCACTTTTAGAGTCTTTGTAAGTGTGACTCACAGTAAATTTTCAACATCGAGCATGTTTACTACATTAAACAGCGCGAGGTAGAAAAGTTCACATCACCATTTTAATGGACCCACAAACGCTAGTCATCTAATGCACACTTGCAATCTGTGCGGGTTTGTCATCCATGTCCAGCTATCAACAACAGGCACAGTATTCCTTGGCAGACGAGCGGGCTGCGCTATAAACAGAGCGCAAGTAGTTGCCGAGGCAAGAGATTTCAGAGATACTTTTGCTTCCAGTATAAGAATTACGATCTTTTAACCATTTCTTTCAAGCTGTTGCCTTCCCGACTGCTTTACCCAGTGCGAGGAGCGACAGACGCGACGAACCCCGTCACGCCAGGGACGAGCAGCATCCCCTGCGCCCTCGCTGCGCGCAGCACTCACCAGGCGCGCAGGAAGGAGCGCAGCGTGCACGAGCACGGCCGCGGGCAGCCTCACCGCCCCATCCCTGCCCGCCCCGGTACTCGGATGCGGCAACCGAGCCATCAGTTGGCAAAGAAGAGCTGGCAAACTTGACCTGAACTGCGAAAAGCAAAATAAAGCTTCGCAAAGGAGGCACGGAATAAACACGGTCTTAAAAAAATGTAATAATAAAGATTCCGCCAGATCAATACGAGTATTGGCTAAGGCGGCGCGGTCGCTTTTCAGGCCGTTGGAAATGTGGCTAATAAGTCACGCCCGTTTCTGAACGGTAACTAGTCACCCACTTTCTTGACAAAGCTTTCTAGGAAGAACACTTGTATAGCAGGAAAATCGCTTTTTCCAGATGCTTTTGAACACGTGCAGGAGGGGACAGGGGAGGACCCACCTGTTCGGGCTCGGCTGCTGGAGCAGGCTCTGTACAACCGGAGCTGCCCTCGACATGGGACAACTTCTGCCCTGACTCACACCCCCATACATCAATGTGAGGTTTAAGGGCTTAAATCCTTATCCTACCGAAGTAAGCAGTAAACCTCCCAGGGAGCAGAGTAGGATCAAGGCTAAGGTCGGGAAGAAATCGGCCCCGTAGGGCAGCGCTGCCCCGTCGCGCCGGGGTCCGGGTCCCGAAGCGCTGGGCGGGAGGTGGCGGCGTTAGGGCGATGCCCGGCTGTGCTCACCCCCTCCCTGATGCTTCCTCGGGAGAGGCACAGGAAGGAGAGCTCTCTGCACAAGCAGCGGGTTCCTATCGGAATCAAACCTCCCAGGACTGGGCTCGCTTAACTAAACCTACAAACGCCGCAGGAG